AGGGCCTTGCGAACAGCACTTCTGCGATTCTGTGAACTACTGAGGAATGGAGAATCTGCAAAACCCAAGGCAGAAAAAGCCCTGTGCAGTGCAGAGGACCACCCACACAACATTCTGCTTTGCTTTCAGGAATTTGTTCCCTCTTGATGCAGTGCTCCCAGGCTGGGCTGGGGGCCCCCCAGCATCCCAGGCACTCTGACAGCAGCAGGGAACATGAGCAAAGAAGACAAAGTGTCTACACTGTGGTGCCAGGTTTTGGGTACTGTCATGGTTTCAGCTGGGGTAGAGCTAAGTTTTTCTTCTTACTAGCCAGAATAGTGCTGTGTTTTGGATTCAGTATGGGATTTGGTATGAGGAGAATGCTGATAACATACCAATGTTTTCAGTTGTTGCTAAGAAATCAAGGACTCTTCAGCTTTCCATGTCCTGCTAGTGCGCAGGTACACAAGAGAGCTGGGGGGGAGCATGGCCAGAGCAACAGACACAAACTGGCCAACGGAACATTCCATATTCTGCAACTCAGAGGGCTGACCAGGAAGCTCATTTTTGCCTCTGGGATCACTAGCTGGGAATGGGTTGGGGTGAGCAATCACATTGTGCATTGCTCATTTTTATTTTCTATTATTATTATTATTAACCATTATTAATTTTATTTTACTTCAATTATTAAATTGTTTTTTTCTCAACCTATGAGTCTCCTTACCTTTACCCCTCTAGTTCTCTCCCCCATTCTCTGGGGTGGGAGAGGGTGAGCGAGCAGCTGCGTGGTGTTTGGCTGCTAGACAGATTTAAACCACAACAGGTACATAGCTCCACTGCTCACAACCTGCATGCGATGCTGCCTGTGGACTTGCCTCTGCTAGCTCTGCTGTTTCCAAATTGTTTCTCAGCATGATGTGAGCAAACCCCAAGCTTTATTTCTTTCAGAAAAAAATATTACAGTAAATCCCTCCAACAAGGCTTACTCATTTCCTCTCCCCCATCTCTTACTACTTTCTTACTACAAACACAAAAGTCCTTTTTAGTGCAAGGAAGGGCTTATCTTACCTACTTGCTCAACAGCATCACAAGAGTTGCAAGTTCATCAGAGACTAAAAAAAAGAATTGAGCCTTTCCTATGTTTCTTATCTTGTAAACAATCACTGGTATTTTAAGCATGCACTTATGGCCAGGGAGATCTTCAGTACTATTCTGGGCCTTTTTATTTCGTGACTCCCTTGAGCATCAGCATCATTTCAGAACTTCTTGCACAAGTGTTCCATCAGTGCTCCTTGTCAGCACAGATCTCCCCATTTCTGAGGCAAACAAGTGTTTATTAGAACTTGGGGAAAAAACTCCAGAGCAGAATGGCAAAAGAGTTAATGTTGGGCTAATGTGATATAAACAAAGGCCACACTCAGACCAGAAACCACATACTTGCATTTTTATGTCACATTAGTTATCAGAGGTGTCCTAGTAAGCAGCCATCTGATCCTAGCTAAGGGAGAATTAACATTGAAACAAGTCCCCTTTCAATCCTGGTGTGCTTTCCAGGCAGCAGATCCTCAAATCGTTAGTGTAAATTGTGTCTGCCCTTGACTACCAAGTCATAAAAAATTTTTGAGCATGAAGAAGTTTGAAGGAAAAATTGGCTGAGCTGCCTTACCCATAGTTTTGATTTCAGTAACTTCTAGGATCAAAATTATTCTGCAGATCAACGATTGTCTACTAAACCAGAAAAGAACAAAAAACTTGCTGTGAATTAACACTTGCATATCAAGTCACCCACATGAGTGTATTACTGGGTTTTTTACATTTGCCTTTGTTTTTTCTCTTTTGATGTTGACAATGTGTTAAGCATTTAGCATCTTTAAGCCACAGCTGAGTTTACGTAGCAACTGATTCATTGCTGCGTTGCTGAATCTTCCTACCGCTCCCAGTACTGGCAGAAAGACAGGCTAAGGCAACAGCCTCATCCAGATTAACTACTGGCCAAGTCCCAGTTTCGGCCGATTCCCTGCAATGACTCTAGAGAGGCCTGCTGCACTGCAGGAGAGAGTGTGTGACTCCGTCACCAGGCAAAGGGAGAAAAGCTGCACAAAACTAATCGCTGATCTTCTATTAAAATAAAGAGAGGTCTCCTTGCCCCCGCCACCTACACAGGGTGGCTTTGTGTAGGATGAAACTGTGCAAGACAGAGAGAGGCGCTACTCTAGCTTCACCACAGCCGGTTTGTTAACACTGGAGTCACAAAGCCACTCTGAATTTCCGCTTTCCTCTCAGTGGCTTTTTCTGACATCCTGGAGCCCTCCCCACCCTCCACGGTGCTTCAGGCTGAGATGGCTCCAGATGTACTTATTCCTACCTCACTAGTTCACAACTACAGTATATCATAGTTCTTCACTTGGGAGAGTCCAACTCCTGGCAGTTAAATATCTGCAGAAGTATTAAAGTACCTCATGTCTCTCTTACTTTGATTTCTTGTGGCTTAGCCTGAGGTTGCACTGAGAAAGGACTGGCCTAGTGTTCCAAAGGTTATGAAACCTCTGAATCTTAAAAGATATCATCACCTATTTCTATTAAAAATATCAGTCAAGAGTATTGTAAGAGATTAAAAAAAAAATCCACCTAGGGGTTTACACCATGAAGACAAATTTTTTTTTTTTTTTTTTAATACAGGTGGCATGGACTGATACACGGCATTGCCAGAACGCTGGTTTAATTCATTCTGCTATCAGAAATACTGGGTAGAATTTCTAAAATGTCTCTGTCAATCAAGAACTATACTGTAGGCACAGAAATGAACTTGTGTACAGGTGCCACTTAAACTGCTCCTACACACAAACGGCAGCATTGCCGAGTACCCTCCATGCAGGGCAGGAGCAAGCAGCGCAGCACGCCAGGAGGGCCAGCTCCTGCCAGCAAAGCTGGGGTCTGGGCAGGGATCTCGTAAGGCACCCCACAACAGAAGCCAGGCCCTGATGTCCCAAAGTAAAGCCACTCAGGACACAGCCCCTTGCGAGTGCCACGGTGTGTCAGGGAAGCACCTCCATTTACACTGTGTGCATCCCTGCTACTGTTACTAGCAAAAGCAAAAATACAGCCGAGTACTTTTTTGTTTTTAAATGGGAACTTCCTTCTGAGCTACCCAGCACAGACCCGCCTTCAGCTAAGCACACGTGGCCCCATCATGCAATGCAGGGTGGCTGCAACCTGTTGTAAGCCGAGATGTCAGCAGCTCCAGCACAGGGCTGCAAGGAGACTCCCACCGGCAGCAGCGTTACTGCTACTGCTGCTAATAGCAGGACGGACATCACAGGCCTCATTCCTACTGCTACAGAACCAGCCCAAGGCTCTCCAGGTCCGTACTCCATCAGGAAAACCGACAAACGTGCCCGCAAGCCCCGCGTTGTAAGGCCCTGGTACCCGCACGGTCCCAGCCAGCAGCGCAGCGGCCGCAGTACTGGCACTTCTCCTCATGTAAACAAGTCCTTTTAAGCTGTGCTAAGTTACTCAACGTGACAGATGGCTCAGCCCTTGCCTTTATGTAGCCTTCAGCAAACTCATCAGAGCTAAGATCAATGGTTGGAACCTCTCCTTCGGGGGGGGGGGTGTGTGGGGTGTCCCCGGGCTGCACAAATGTAGAGCCCCAAGCCGAGAGCATCTGGGCTCTGCTGGGACAGGGAGCAGGGAGGCAGAGACCCCTCCTACCCCCTTTCTGCTCTACTCCTGCCTCTGTGCTCGGGGGAAGTTTTTTTGAACTCTACCTCAGAACACAGGCAGCACAGAGTGGTTGCTGAACTGATCAAAGCAGCAGTTTTGATATAGGAGTATTTTTTGTAGAAAGATACTCCTCTTTCACGTGAAAGATAGTTGTGTGGCTTTTTCTTTTAAACACCATACAGTGAAGAATGGAGAACAAAACATCCCAGACTCTTGAATTAAAATACAAGCTTTACAACCACGTAAGTAAGTGTAGGCTCTTATATTTCAGTTTAAGACTATATAATTTTATAGAGTACCAAAATAAGCAAAGGATCAGCACTCCATACAAAGTGTTAGTTCCTGTGAGGAGGGTAATAGGGAGATTACACTGAACTTTTTTTGCAAGACTAAAGAAAATTCCATTGCAGCAAAACAGAGTTGGGTTGATTCCCCACATTTCTGATTCATCGACTAGTGTTTCTTTAAAGACAATTTACATTTTTCTTATTCAAAGTAAAGGGATGATTTAAAGCAATATTAACAAGGAGGTGGTGCTGTTAATGTTTAATGTCAATATGCAATGTCATCTGCTATAAAGGCTAGAAGAGCAACACAACTTTACCTTTACTTCTGAAGACTAATTATTAGAGATCGACTAACACTTGAGAATTTCAAGCACACTAGGCCGACTCTGGGTCGAGGCTGCTGCTGGTTAAGCCTCTGCTAGCCTGCGCACTGCCGTGAGGAAGGCAGGAGGCAACTCCCAACATCCCGATGCTGGCAGGGACATGTGCTCCCACATGTGTACCACCACCAGTAGACTTAAGACAGTTATGTCTCTCCCCTGTCTTACAGCACTAAAATGCAAGGAAATTAGCTGCTAACATAGCCACTACAATTTTACAAAAGCATAAATCTGAACAAAGTAGCAGTTAAAACAAATTGAAGCTCTCCAGGTCCAGGATTCATTCTCTATGACAAGCCTCCTTCCATCCTACTCCCTGTCCGGTTTCATCCCCCACTCCTTCCCTAACGTCTGTTTTACAATAAATAGGTTAAGTGAATTTACATGATGCAAGCGCAACTCAAGACTTCTGCCCTGTACACAGAACCAGGTTAAAATTATGAGATTATACATGTGATATATCTCTAACAGAGCAACCACCAGTTTAGATTTTTAAAGAAACACAAGTATTTCAGCATGTACACAGTAATGAGTTTAAAACTGTCCAACATCATTGCTTTCATACATTCTCTTCCTCTTTATAGCCTTAAAGGGATTTTAGACCTTGATGGCAACAATCCCAAAACAAGAGTAAAATGAATTTATTTTATTGCAAACAAACGTCTAGAGTTAAATTTCTCCACCCACTTTCTTTAGAGAGAAGGAATCAGCAGGCTAAGGAGATACACCCATTTGAGAATTGACATGATTAAAAATTAGATATAAAATGGGTGACTCACAGTTTCATTAGCTTACAAAATGGTGGAGTAACTACTACAAGCACACTAGGTATACAGTATTTTGTGGGGAAAGAGTTATACAGACACACAGCTAACTTCATATAGATCCCATTAGACAACTGGATTTACAACAAGTTTTGTTTAATAAGAAATGGGCAAAGCCAGCTTCTTTTCAGAATCAAAATGCAGAACAAATGGAAAAGAAATTATGGTGTTGTACCTTCACAAGTTTGAGCCTCCACAAATAATGCAACCAAGTTTTACAACTTTAAGAGCTTCTACATACACTCCACCTTCACTATTTAGCCCCAGGCTTCCTCTTTGCCCCCAACATCTTATCGAGTTCCAAATGTTACAAAAAAAGTCCTAGTTATTGCCAGAAACTTTTACCTCTCCCTCCTCCCCTCCCCACCCAGAAGCTTCATAGAGAGGATGGAGTGTAATATGGAGCTTTACATAATCTCATGCTATTCATGAGGGCTACCAAGGAGCCTCCGTACGAATCTGGTTGCTAACATTTCTATCGTATTGTGACATGACTCACGACTGTTTCTTAGAAATTGGGGGATGGGGAAAAAGGAGAAAATTCTTTAATAAAAAGACACCAGGTACAAAGCAACGTTTTACTTTTGTTGTGGTAAAAAAAAAGTCACATTTTACAGATAAAATGTAGAACCCTGAAATACTGACACATTCTCTTATCGTGCACAATGCTGAGGTTCTCTTACGAATCACTTTAAAACTGCAATTAAAAATGTACAAAAAAAGAAAAGAAAAAATCAACCCACAAAGCTTCTAAAAAAGGAACCCGCAGGCACTTCCTCTTGTGGAATGTTTAAAAAGTTAGCCTACTAAAGAAAACAGTCGACTTCTTGTGAAGGTTTTGGAGAAATATGTATCAGTTCATTTATTTGGGTATTCAATAATATCCTTGGTGATAATGCTGACTCCATGGCTTCTGACCCCAGAATTGCTGCAATAAATGGATAAATAGTTAATTTTATCCTGTCATCACATAATGGTTACATTTCTTACAGAAGAAAAGTGTTTAACAAACATCTAGTTCTTTTGGAACTGGAGAAGATTAAAGAAGATTAAAGTCCTTTCAAATAGCAGCAAGTTCCTAAACAACTGAAGGCAGTTGAGAGTTCACTTCACAGTAGAAATGTGAAGCCAAATACTACATACCATTAAGACCGATAAGCCATAGCCGATACTTGATATACCAAGACCATTAAGTTTTGCACAGAAAACTATTTATAGTCATATTACCTAGCATGAAAAAGATTTTGCTATCCAGTTTTGGTTGCACAAATAATTATTTCAGACAGCATTTTGAAATAGCCAAGTTAATCAGTGAAAAGGTAGTTATGATTACTTACACCCTGCTGCCACTGGTTGTAGCCCTGAGATTGGTTTTTGTAGCCACGATTATTTCCCCTTCCTCTGAAGTTCTGCAAGAGGACAACAGTTTTTAAGTAATTCATTTATACAGATTTTTCAGAAGTGGACTATTACCACGAAAGCATCACATGCCATATAGAATCTTTGAAAATATGAGGCACCAAGGCCTATGTCAAAAAAATCCCACACCAAAAACCTTCCTGAAAACCACTAGAATACCAAAAAACACTCCCCCCTTCCCCTGGAACTGTTTCTTAAACATGAGTCAAGGACCTCAGAATTAATAAACCAGCTCAAACTGGTGGTGGTCTGGAAAGCTGGCTAATCCAGTTTTGACTCACCCTATTTCCAGCTGTTAAAGTGCACCAGGACAACTAAAAATACAAGAGGTTGCCTATTTTTAGTTAGGAAAGGCTGTAGTTGCTGCAAGGATGTGTTATCTGATCAGACAAAAGGATATGGATCATACAACTGAAAATAGAAGAGCTAGTCCACAAAACTTCAAATAAAAGTTACGGTATTAAAAAGGGACATTGATATGAGTAGGTTAAATATTGCATTTCCCCTGTTTGTCAGTGTTAGACAAACCTGAGCCATGTTTACTAGCTTGGGCTCCATCTGCTGGTTTTTCCATAATCCAAATTATGTTTTCACATACTTTGGAAATAATATTCCATCAGTTAAGACCTAGTATGTCTCTCCAGTAGTTGGCATTTGATACCAGACACAAAACCAAAGACTTTCTCCAGGGTTATTTCCAGAAAGTTCCCCAAATCCTGGATAAAGATACACCTTGACCTTAAGGCCAAACAATGGTTACTTACTATTTAGAGACAAAATAAAGATAAAAAAGCCCCAAAACACAGGCCTTCACACACAAGCCCTAAAAATTCTCATCTTGAGCAGGACAGAGGTACAGTCTTAATATGGAACCCCCCCAACAGCATCAGACCTTCTCAGGAAACACTGAGAGCTCCAGGCACATACACTAATTTGGAAAACCAGGCCTTTTAGCGTGGGATTAGTGTATTACCACAACCAAGCCTGTGGTTATTCACAGCCACCAAACCTTCCAAAATAACATTACCCAAAATACTGTAGTTCAACTAATAAACTCCTCCCAAAGCATCACCTGGTTGTAGTTTCCCCTGTTGGGCATTCCACCTCTGTTATAGTTTCCTCTGTTTGAGTAGCCACCTCTGCTTGGAAAGACAGGGCCACGAGGATATGGGTAACCAATTGCACCGCTGCTGCCACCGCCACCACCGCCACCTCCACCACCTCGCTGAGGCATGTTGCCTCCCCTCCTGTTGTATCCACCACGATTGCCGGGGACTGCAGGGAAAGAGTTACTTCAGTCAAGTAACTGTTAGGTCTTAAGTATTTCTCACGTGAAGATTATTGTTCAAAATAATGACAGTACAGAAATCAGATGTCTACATTCAGTGCAAAAATTCTGGTGCAAAGGTTAACTCATCTGGTCATAGTGAAAACCGGTAATTTAACCATGCACTACCCCCCTAATACAGTCTGGTGTGCAAGCAAACACGAAGCTCAACATAAAACCTCCAAGCTGTGACTCAAACCACAAGAACAGCGTAATCCAGAATTTTGACAAACCTCACTTTTAAAGTTGGATAATTAACTTTGGACTAAGACATTAAACTTCATTAAGTTGAAATCAAGGTTCCCACTAAATAATTATCACAACATAAGTACTACAACCTTTTTCCCCCCACAGCAGCAGCAATCTCCAAGGTTTACAACCTCATTTCTAGGCTCACCTCCTCCTCTGAAGTTGCCCCGCATGTTGAATCCTCCACGTCCTCTCTGACCCCTATTAAATTGATTTTTATTGCTCTTCTTGTTCTTCTTTGAGCCAGTGTTCTGTTTCTTTTCTGGCGGAAGAGATTTCTTACTTTCTTCTTTATATTGTTCCAAGAGCTTCTGAGCTTCTTCTTTTTGCAACTCTACATAGATTATTTCATCAAAACATTCTGCTACCTCTGGCAGTGTGAAGTTCCCTATAATTGCAAAAACACTGAGTATTCAGCATCTACATTCAGCTACAATCAAAGCCGTAATTTAGCCACCTTTCTCCCATTCTTCCTCCCACCCCCTGCATTCCCTCAGCATAGGGACAAAATTACATAATTTGAGCATTTAATAAGCATAGCAGTGACAAAGGAAATAAACAGGTCTTCATGGAGTTGCCAGTACTGTTCCAAACCTTGAAAACATTCTGCCTATATCTTTTTTTTCTTTTATAAGCCTCCACTCAGAATACCAGTTTCTGCCAAATATGTCACTTATATAGGGCACTTTATGCCAAGACAGCTTTGTGCATCTGCATGAAGCATATCAGCATAACTGAGTAGTGTTAAGGACTGCAGCAGAGGGAACACAATATAGTGTTGTCCTACAAGTTACAATAGTCTTCCAGTTTTGTTTAAAGTACAACTGTTTAAGATAAAGTGATTTTTTAGACTTCACGTTTACTTAATCCTTTAAACAGATACTCAGCATCCTAAAACACAGTATAGGATTATGTTCCATGCCTTTCATTTTGAGAACTGCATGCTCTGGAAGATCTTTTCCCTCCACCTCTGCCTTCTTTTGTGTTCTTTGCTTGTAGTCTTCATCTTTTGGGCAAACAACAACTGCTTTGCGCTGGAAGCCTGCAAACAGGCACATTTTTCTCCTCTGCGCAGCTGCAGACACATTTGTCTGAAAAAAATGCAGTAACTTACTACACGTAGCTGTCATTGTAAGAGTTAAGGAAGTCAACTTATGGTGTATAGACTTCACCTCTACAAGAGCTTGCAATGAAGTTTACAAATAACTGGACATAAAGATGCTGCATAATGCAAAGTTACGAGCTCATATCCACGTGTTAACGCACTATTCCTCCCACATCCCATAAATCCAGAGAAGTTCAGACAAGCATTTGTAGTAATATCTCAACTCTGTGTCCCCTGAATGAGTAGTAAGTCAGTAAGTGAAACATTACAACGTAACTTTAATCCCATTTAATTACTGCACTATAGCCTATAACAGATTTCCTTAACCGTTTTTCACTGAAGCTTCTACCTGATCCAAAATGAAATTCCGCTTCTTACGAGCTGCAATCTCAATGAACTTCCCAAGACACTGTGGAGCTCTCTGCAACAGTGTGTTAAGTTTTCCAGTGTCCGCCATCTGTCGCTTAAAACCTGCAACCTACAGAGAGATTTCCCAGAGTTAGAGCAGCCCTCATATGTGTGGCTGACATTTTCCTTTGCTAAATGCTTTTCATGTCTCTTCAAGGATTGTTCAATTCAAGGCCATGGCTACAAACTCATAACTGGAGTTCCCAAAGCCTCTGTAAGACATAAAGCTTTATAATCAAAGTATCTATGTGAATCAATATAGCTCAATCTAAGGTATATTCACATTATTAATTCAAAGGTAAATGTTCTATTCTGATGGCAGTGATGTACAGAGGAACAGTAATACTTGGTCAACAACAGTTGACTATCTCTTATATAGTACCCCAAAAAGCTTCAGAATCCTGACATGCCACATGAGAACTATACAGCTCAGCAAGACAAGAATCTTTAAAGGTTACTAGCTAGCCAGCAGCTAGTTCCTTAAATTTGATACAAAAATACCCCATGGCAGCCACAGACCCTGGATTTACAGCAAGTCTAATTTATCAACAAACAAAATGTTGCATTACCACTTACCATCATTTTGTCCATAATAGTATTTGTTCCAAGAATGTTGTATTTCCCAGGATTTGCTGCTGCATGTTTGGTAACCCATGTAGTCTTGCCAGCTCCAGGCAAGCCAATCATCATCACCACCTATGACAACAGGTTCTATACTTGAGATACGAGTTCAAAGATTTTCTTTAATATGCAACTTAGACCAGCAAGGCTAATGGAAAGTGCGTGGTGGGTGTGGGGGCAGGGGTTGAAGAGTCACGGAATACCAAGTATTAAAGCCCCCAAACAAAAAGGTCAGAAAATTGTACAATCATCTGCTTATTAACCTCCACTACTTCGTTCATTTATCTCATCAACTTTGATATTAACAACAAGAAACTTACCTCACAATCTTTCTTTTGCTCAGGTCCTTTTGGTCCTCGGACCCTATCCTCCAGGGGGACCTTCTGGATGAAGGTATACTCTTCAGGTACAGGAAAGTAAGGTTCCTCCTTCTGACCAAAGTTGAACTCAACTGCACAGTTATGGCAGAGAACATGTGGGAAGAGTGGCCGCCCATCAAGAACTTCCTTACTTATTTTGAATGCAACACCAAGCTCTTGTCCGTTCTTGGAATATGAGAGTTCCACTTCATCACCATCAAAATTCTGGTTTTCAGACAAAGCATTAGTTTGGATAAAATTACTCATCTAATTCTATAAAGTTACATTAGTCATTTCACTATATTGGCTATATTCACTCAGCTTCTGTAACACTTATATCGTAAAGGAACTACTGAAAAGTTTTCTCTTAAAATGAACTACTGTCAATGATCATCTCCTTTAAGATCAGATTATTTTTCAAAAGGCTTTAAGGACATTTGTTTGTGAATATAAAATCTTAACATGTTAACAGCAGTCACTCAATAAATAATACCTGCTATTTCTACCTCCTCCCTGTGTTAAACACCTTGCTCCAAGTTTTTCTGTATTTGGTTTACTGCTTCTCACATCAAAGCAGTCTAAAAATTCAAGGATGTTTTTACTCTAAAGAAAATATAAGTGAAAACTTACAGCAAAACATCCAATCACATCATTTTCATCAAACTTCTCACCAAAGTCTTCAGTCTCACAATTGCATGTCTTTATTCCTTTTAGGGAATATCCGTAAGAAAATTCTTCTTCACCTGAAGAAATAATTTAAGCTTACTAAAAAATAAGCATTTTCACCCAATCTTTTAGAAATACAATCACTTTACAGCTACTTAAGAAAGCTGCTTTCAGAACGTTTTTATTAATGCCAAAACAAACTACAACCCCCAAACAGCTACAGCTTTTTCTTGTATTCAAGAATACTCTGACTTGAGATAGAACAGCAGTGTCTCCTGCATCCCAGTTTTTTGAAGACTTATGCTGCTGGTTCCAGATTCATGTTGACATAAAGACGTGAGCAAGTATTTTTAAGCACTGAAGATCTGATTATGCACCAGTATACCCATAACGTAGTTAGTCAGAAAGGCTTTCTGAATTTGGTCTCCAGTAGCACTTACCCCTCTCCCCATTTAAAGGGAGTTTAGCAGACATTCAGCCTATGCGACAGCTGAGGATGAAGCTGCAAGGAACAAGCTAACAGGAAGTGTCAAACAAGGACTCATGTGGAACTTAAGCACTTACTAGAAAGCTGCTGCTGATGCTAGAACATACCAATTCATATACATTTCCCACACAGATGCACCTCAGCAGCAGGTAATAGTTATAAATACCATTAAGACTGGTTCCCATATCTAATGAAGTTGTACTTCTTTCCTCCTAGCTACTCTCAGAAATGAGGATTCTCCCCCCAAGCCAAAAGAATGATAATGTAATAATGTAATTATCCAGAAATTTTTATTCACTGGTTATATCTTATACCACACCCCAAAACAAACAATAACAAAAGGGCAACCCCCCCCCTTCTTATTTATGACACTACACAAAAAGGAGAACTCCTTAATCTTGTCAAGTTTTCAAGAATGTTCTCCACAACCCACACTTGATGACTGAAAGAATTAACTCTCAAATCATGTACTCCTTACAGGCCTGAATACTTGATAACTTTATTTGGTCCCAATAATAAACCTTCTTGCACTATGTCCAGTGAACGATTCAGGTTAAGACCACTTTTCAGAACACACGTGGACTAGTCACTAAGCTCTTCCCATCTGCTTAAGAAAAGATAACTTAAAACTTCAACTACATACACAACAAATAATACAAAAGTAATCAAATGCTTAAATCTTACCAAGCAACATTCCACTTGTGTTGAGGGACCAACCAACTCGCACTTCATGTATGTCAATGTCTTTTGTGTACAGGTGTTTAACAGGAATCTTTTCTGTAACCTATTTTTAAATTACTCATTAAAAGATATGCAGTATTTATTAAACACAAAAAAGATGGAAACACAAAGGTAACATCTGGAACCTCTACACTTTGGTCAAATCTTTGCTAAGTCTGAGTAATCACCTTCTGCAAAAATAAAACATGTTTAAGTATGTAAAGCCACAAGCCAATGACTAAACAGTTACATCTCCAGACTGAGCAATGAAGATGCGAGATACCATGTACCTTCCAAGCACTTAGTCACAGCAGTTCCTCTCAGCGGCCAAAAGCCTTAACCTTTTGATACTGCATTCAAATTACAGACAAGATGTATATGTATTTTAAAAAATATAAATCGCCGTGAAGTTAGGATTAAATTACTTTGCCAATAAAGTGTGGTAATGGATAAAAAATGCTTCACATAGACTGGGGAAAATATTACACTCATCCCTGTTCCACAGTAAGCAGACTTCCTGGGAAAGTTGCCAGCTTCCAAACAACATAACCAGATTCAAAAAATCCCACCTAACAGTACTAGAATCTGTAGGCAACCAGCTATTTTTTAACTGCCTTTACAAACTTCACCAAACTAAAGTGAGACTGATCAACATCCCACCAGTTTACACAACTACTGGAGTCAGGTGACAGAGGTGAAACTGATTTGAAAGTGAACAGGGCAATAAGTATGACATCAATTTTGCTTCATTGGCCTTTGAAAGTTACAGGTACCAAAAACCACAGAAATCACTCAGTGCAAGAGCATGGAGAATGGGATTACTGCCCACCCCTAATGGTGGTAGTTAGATTTGGAAGTACTAGAAGAGAACGGGGTAAGCATTTATATATACAGGCACATCATGTGGAAAGAAGCCTTTAAGTCCAAAAAAAGAATAAAACTCAGGCTTTGTGCCTCCTGTTATTTTTTCATCAACAAGCTGGAGAAAACAGTTTATTATTACAAGGCTGAATGGCTCTTTGCCATTCATAGCCTTTAGAAGAACTCTTACTCTCAAAATTCAAGTACCAGCTATGCACTCACATCCACTGTATACACATCAGAATTACTGAGGTTGAAAGGGACCCCCGGAGGTCATCTAGCCCAAATCCATGCTTAGAGCATTTCAAATTCAAAGATTAAGTAGGAAGAGAAAAAAGGAATGATGGGATAATTTATATTTATATAT